TGAGGGAGGGGGGGAGGGAATTGGGAGAAAGGTGACGGGACGAAGAGAACAGAGGGTACGGTGATAGAGGGGGGAGGTAGAATATGGAGACAGAGAATTGTAGAAGGGAGTTAGGGGTTGGGAAGATAAAAGGGAGCCGAAGGGGGCGGTAGGGGGTGGGGGAGATAGATGAGAAAATAGAACGGGAAGATATACGGTGGTTGCGAGTTGGCGAGAGGTCGGGGGGGGGGGAAAGGGTTACTTTGTAGGGTAGACCTAAACACAGAAACACGGACACACATACATTTAAGCACATACAGACACACATATAGACGTACACGAGCATACACATATATGACATATCTAAATATAGACACAAAACGCACACACATACTCATAATCACACACGTGCATATAAACATACACAGACACACATTCATTGACATAATCATACATATACATAAAATAATAGTGTATACATGTAAACACATACTAATACGCACGCACAATATACATAAACACACAAATACATTATTATAAACGTACACAAACACACACACATACATAAACAAACAAATACATATAAAGACATACAAACAGACACACACACACATATACATGCACATAAACACACATTATGCATAATATAAACACACACAATCACGCACACACGTTTACATGATCATACACATACAAATCAACACCCAGTATACACCAACATGCATAGATACACAGATACACACGCACACACATGAACGCACACTTGAACACACACACACACATTCACAAAAACACACAAACACACACAAACACTCACAAACACACACACGTACAAACACACACACACACACACACACACACACACACACACACACACAAACACACACACGTACAAACACACACACATACACACACGCACACAAACACACCTCACAAACACAAACTCACAAACAAGCACATAAACACACACACCTGTATGCCGACAGCCGTATTCCTCACATTTAGGACAACACTGGTTGGTCCCGTTGCTGTAACTAACACAATGTCGTTCTACCATACAGTCCTGCAGACAGAGACAAAATAAAACAACGTTTTAACAAGTCCTAAAAACAAAAACGACATCAGAAAAGAACCCCAACAACAACAACAAGAAACAACCAAAAGTAACCCCATACCTCTCCCCATCCCCCTCCCCAGCTATACGCAGGCAACAATTTCAAAACATTTTATTTTTAGGAGAGAAAAAAAAAACGATTCAAAAGTGTTTCATAATTAATTGTCCTTAAAAAATCGCACCTACTTTACGAGGTCTGGCCTAGAAGTAAGTTTGCGTGTTTGAAAATCAACAATTTTGCAGGAAAATCAACAAATTTCCCTCAAAACTAAAGAAGGTCCACTGGCGTCTGTGACATGTAGAGCTTAGACACTCCACTGTCGCACACATTAGACCCAAGTTCGGTTCCAGAGTTGGGAGTAAATGTGTATCGAGTATCACGGCCTCTCTGCTAGGATGGTGTATACATCTGCCCCCCCCATCTATCACCACTATAGTTTCCCTCTATCACCCCCCATCCTACCAACCTCAGCTCAGGTTGGCCATGACAGGCAGGGTCGGAAGCCCGCCTCCTAGGTATTCTAAATTGTGCCGAAGGGTCGCGAAAACACATATAAAACAGGTAAAAGAAAAAAGAAGAACTATGGCGTCAACGATTTGAAGACAAGGAAGAAATTGTGTTCCAAACAAATGCCGCGTAAAGTACACTGGCAGAAGCGGATATGGTCACTGCGTTTGACTGTTGGATGCATTGGATGAAAAAGTGCATTGAGATCAACGATTGTTCTATTGCATAGAAAATAATATGTATTCTGTATAATGTATAACCAAAATTTCATGTCTATAAAATAAAAATTGTCGATTTTACAGAGGGAAACTGACTTCTGGAACAAACCTCATAGCAGTATTTTTTTCAACGTTTAGAATCTGAACTTCATCAGACTATTTATTGAGTACATGTCATTGTTTGTAATACCACACAATAAAAAATGCAGTCTTAAAAGAATTAGAAGATTTAAAATTGTGGCTTAGTACACCCAAAATAGCAGGCCAACGCCCAGCTGTAATTGTTAACATTTTGTAAACGCTCCCATCGACACAATTTAGATCATTTAGGAGGCCGTCCTGGTGTGAATTAATACGCTACCCAAAGAGGTTATAAATGCATGCTTCCCTTGAGTTACAAAATTCTTTCTACTGAGTGCCTAGTTAAAGGAATTTGACGTATTTTGAGTTTCACAACTTGTCAAGCTTTTCGGAATGCAGTTCTTTGAATATCTTGTTTATCGACTCCGAATAATTTTACCATTTTGATAAGATCAAAGAGAACATTTGGTTTCTGACTTCATGGTCTTAGTAACTCAAAACGCCAAAAAATGTCAGGTAGAACTTAGTAATTCTAAGATACGGAGTAATCACCAACTTAAACAGCAACTATGAAGATTTGACGCCTCCATCGACACAGTTTTAGAGGCCGAGAGGGAGGTCAAAACAATTACAATAGTTAGCTAAAGTTGGAGGAAAAAAATTGCTCTCGTCAATACATTGTAGATAGGCAAGAAATAAAAAAGACAATAAATAAACTGTAACTGTAATTGAGAATGTTTTAGGACCCCATCAACACAATTCAGGAATGGAAAGGTGGGGGGA